GTCACTGAGCTGGAGCGTGTCCCCAGTCACTGAGCTGGAGCGTGTCCCCAGTCACTGAGCTGGAGCGTGTCCCCAGTCACTGAGCTGGAGCGTGTACCAGCGTCACTGAGCTGGAGCGTGTAACCGCGTCTACCCATGTCATTGTGCTGGAGCGTGTACCCACATCTCTGAGCTGGAGCTGTCGAAAACTACTGAATTGGTTTGTGTTTCCCGTTACTTTCTTAGCAACAGGAAAATAAGTAAACCTGGAAAAACTAAATAAGAAAATATCTGAAGGTGATATTTTTCTCTTAAATAAAGCCTTGTGGAGTGGAGTGTAGCTCTGTCCTGGCACATGCCGGGTCACCAACTCAATGGTAACTGGAGTTCGTAGTGAGACCTGAGATGGCCAATATATTCACCAGCAGCTGGCCTGCCAGCTTACTGGGATCCCCTGACCCCCAGGCCTGTACTTCCACCTGCCCCCTCGCCATGTCCTCCTAACAGCTAAGAGGCATCTCAAATTGAGCAAGCCCCAAAGTAAGCGTCTCCTGCCTCCTCTGCTCCTCTCCTGGCCCTGAGAATCCCCACTCTCACTGAACTTCATCCTTCCTGTTACTCAGGCCCACAGCCTGGGAGCACCCTTGATGCAGCAGTTTCTCTCCCCCACATCAACGTCTCTGCAAAACTCATCTAATCCACTTCCAAATCATAGCCAGAATTAACCACTTCTCACCACCTCCGTGTCAGGCCACCTCGAGGGTCTGTCTTCCACCTGGGCCATTCCAACCCCCACCTAGCTATCTCCCTGCCACTCCTCCCTACACTCCAGGCAAGGCGACACTGAGAAACTAAGTCAGCTCACTATCACCAAGAGATCTCAGAATTGTAGTACCAGGATGCTGTTGTTGTTGTTGTTTGCTATAAAGTCAGAACCAGCCCACAGCTAACCCTCCAACCCCATTTTCAGAGACAGTTAATCACCCAGCCTCCCGCAGTGGAGCAGCTGATGGATTCGAACCGGGTATCCAGTTTCTAGATAGAGTAAGGAATAACGTCCATAAAACTCAGAAACAAAAGGCCAAGCTTACTGGCCCAAAAGACACCGGTGGGACCTGTGAGATCATGCTTTCAGTCACTCTTCAAATCTGGAACAGCAGCCCCTTGGCTCAATTTTCAGCCAAGCAACAGGAAGGCCTCGAAAGTCAGTAGCACTCATTCCTAAGAATAACCCACCACAGACGGTCAGAAGAGCAGCGAGTGCCCGGGGATAAAGCCCCGGAGGCCCAGGACAGGAGGTGAATGTCAATGAGAATTAGAAGGCTGAAGTGGGAAAAGCATAATTACACTGTGACCACTGCCGCTGGGAGCCATGAACACAGGTCTCAGGGTCAGCCCTCTCCTGCGCCACCCTCACCATCTCTACCGGGCTGGAAGCCGCTGTTCCCGTCCCTGTGTCAACGCACCTTGTTGAGGGGCTTCCTCCACCTAGGACTTTCAAGGACTAGCCCTTCCTGACAATGTGCCTTAAGGTTTCACCGTCCTCACTAAGGAGCACCTTGGTTTCACTTCTTCCAAGATCAAGTTTATTATCTTCTGAAGCAAATGTGTATGAATAGCTGAATGAAAAAATTCAATTTGCTTTGTAAATTGCTTTCACTCGAATGACAATTAAAAAAAACACAAACAAACAAACCACCACCACAAACCACAAACTAAGTCAGCTCCTATCTCTGGGTTCCAACAAACTTGGGGATGGGGGAGAGCCGCAGAGAGGGCTTCTTCCCCTTACGCAAGTCAGAAACCTCATAGCAGCATGCAAAGCTTGGTGCAATCCAGCCCCGTCCAGCCCCCTACCAATCATCCATTTCCACTCCTCTCACTGTGACTGGTGGCCTAGTGATAAGAAGCTGCACTACAATCCCAAGGACATGCAGTTCAAATCCACCAGCTGCTCCGCAGGACAAGGATGGGGCAATCTCCTCCCGTGTGATTAACTGCCTCTGAAAACCTGCTGGAGGGTTAGCTATGGGTCGGTTCCAACTTAACAGCACACAACAACACTGTGACTCAGGCGTGTTGCCTTCCTTGATAAGAAGATAGCAAGGCCTTTGCACCTGCTGTTCCTTTGACCAAGAACGCTAGCTGTTACCTAAACAGTTACGTGGCTCACTTCTGGCCTTCTCTGAAACATCCTTCAGCTAGATCATGCTCCCCTCTATCTTCACGCTCACATGCTCCTCCTTTCAGCATCTGATAAATTACCTGTTGGTTTACTGCCTCCCATTACAAGGTAAGCTCCCTGAGGGCAGGGAGGGTGTTTCCCCAGCAGCCAGCTTGGAGCAGACATTCTGATAATCACAGAATGGATGAATGGAAGAGCCTGGCCTCCACTGCAGAGGACTCTGGGAGGAGAGTGAGCCTTCCTTTCCATTAGTGACTCAGAAAGGCACTCAAGTATGTACTGTGGAGGTGAAGAGGGATGGTAGCAGGAACTCAGGAAAAAAGGCAACTCTGCCCCCCGCAAAGGCAGCACAGCCAGGGTGCAGGATAGACAGACGGGTCAGATCCTCCCCAGCCCTTTCTACATGGTGACCCTGAATAAGAAAGGAAGCTTTGCAAGCCTTGATGGTCTCATTCTCCTGTGGAACAAGCAGGGCCTACTAGCCTATGGAACAGCACTTGTCTGTCAGTTTGTTGTACTGAGATTAACCTGGGGTTGCTGTGATACTGAGAGTTGTGCCACTGGTGTGTCAGATGCCGTAAGGGTTACCCATGATGTACAGGATTTGGTGGAGCTTCCAGATTAAGACAGACTAGAAAGGACAATGGGCATCCACGTCTTAAAACAAGAGGCCTTTGAAAACCCTGCAAACACTAGAGGAACAAGAAGGATAGTATAGTAGTGGAGTGGTAGGAACCAGACTGGAAGTCAGCTGAAATGAGGAAAAACAATAACAAATATTGTTTACATGATGCTAGGAAGGGTGGAGGGTCGGTGAAGGAAAGGAAGACCCTCAACCAGGTGGATGGATGCAGTGACTACCGCTACGAGTCCTTGGGTGTCAGGAAGTGTGAGGATGGCACAGGACAGAACAGGGGTCAGATCTTTTGTTCATAGGGTTGCTATGAATAATACTCAACTCGACAGCACCTAACAACCACAACTATCCTATGGAAGAATAAGGGATATACTCTTCTAGAGTAACTGTACACTAAGTTAGTTATGTTCTTGGAACAGGCGTCGCACACAGAAAGCACTTCATAAATGACTGCTGTTACAGCTGCTGTACTCATCTGTCACTTGTCACACTGTGGTGCCTTGTCCCACTGTGGTGTCATGACTGCTGGAAACTATACAACTGGTAATGTCAAAGACTAGCAGGGTCAGGGGGAGCTCTGGTGGCCTAGTGGCAAGGAGCCGCAACTACCAGAGGCGCACGGTTCGAATCCACCAGATGCTTTGCCAGGGAAGGAGGGACAATCTCCTCTTGTACCAGTCAGACCTGATTTGACGGTACACTCACACAAAAATAATAATAATTTTTAAAAAAATTAAAAAAAAAAAGACTAGCAGGGTCACTTGTGTGGTCAGATTTCAACAGAACTTCCAGAATGAAGCAGACTAGGAAGAGAGGCTTGGCAATCCACGTCCCCAAATTAGCCAACTGAAAACTCTCTGGATTACACGCAGAATATTGCCCGACAACACCATGTTCGTGGCACCACTCCCTGGATGAGCGGCCTCGTGGCTGACAACCAAGAGCACCAAGAGTCAGGAATCTGGATCCCAGGGCTCTGACATCGGCCAAGCAACCTCAAGTAAATCATGCCCCCTGTGGGTCTCAGTTTCCCCAGCTGAACGACGAGGAGGATGGCACAGATGGTCACAGACAATCCTCCCAGCAATCCTAGGAGTCTAAGGGGCACTCACATTAACAGGTGGCTCGGAGCTGGGCGGCAAAGGCAGGTCCCCGTTGAAGGCCAGGTCGGCAGGGAGGCTCCTGTGAGAGAAAGCCAGAGAATGGAGGCCCAGAACATCCGTGCCTCCCAGAGAACAGAGAAAGAGAAAGTGCTGGCCCCGGCCTCCCAAGTAACTCCCAGCACTCAGAAGTTAAAGGTACTCTCCCTACTCAGGCATTGGCTACTGCTCCTCACCCCAAGAGAAAATACTCGAGGTTGACAACACGTAAACGGTTAAATCTCCCAGCTCCTTTGGGGAATGCATTCTCTATTTCCACATCACTCAGTGGGCCCCCAAAAGACAACTCATCCTGTCCTTCCCTTGAGCTCTAAGGGTTAAGGCTCTCCCCCGCTGGGGAGCGTGCAGCTGGCCCTGGCCGCCCTGCCAATACTTTTGGAAGGATTGCAGGGGAGAAGAAAGGGGGAAGAGAGTGACTTTCCAAGGCTGAAGTTGTGCCTCTTAAGCTCTGCTTGAAGCAGTGAAGGGGAGGGGGCAGCAGGGTGGAGCCTGATCTGAGCAGAGGCGACCTCAGGGGCGCCCTGGTGTGGGACCCAAGCAGCGTTAACTCTGGAGCCCTGCTTCCAGGTACTTTCAGGTGGGAAAAGGTGGACTCAGCTGATGGGCTGAGGAGCGCAGGGCAGGGGCCTAGACCATAGCAGCCCTGCCCGCCCAAGAGCAGGAAGTAGCAGGGAGCAGAGCTGTCTCCTGAGAGGGGACAGCTGTGTCTCCAGCTGGCTGTCCTTTGCTCCAAGGAAGGCCTGCCCCATCCAGATGATGAAGTCGGAGGCCCCTCAGCCTTTTCCGCCAATGCTCTGTGCCTATCACTGCAAGCAAGGCCTGCTGGCCCCCTCCAGAGCAGAGCAGAGCAGTGTGTTAATACCACAGTCTCCGGTTCAGCCATAATCTGTGCATTCACACTCCCTGGTATGTGCGTGTCTTATCTCTCCCATCAGACTCCTCCTCTGGCAGAGACCGTGTACCGCTCGCTCATCCTGTGCCCTCCTTCCCCAGGCCTAGCACACTCCCCTACCCACCGCACACGCTCCAATGCAAGCCCACCTCTGCCTTTGACTTGCTGAGGGTCTGTAGGAAGAAAGGTCTTAGCCTCAGTTCCCATCTCTCTAAAATGGGTCGTAAGCTTTGAGCCAACACAGGGACATTTCAAAGTACACTAGCTGGGTCCCCAGCTCACAGCATAAAGAAACTGAAAGTCACTTTCTATACCGAACACTTGAACTTTCTCCTGTAAACATGCAGCAGCTTAAAATAGAGCCACAGTTAGCTGCTGCACGCAGGTATGTGACAATTAGACCAGGGTGTGCCTGTCCTCAGAGCGCACAGCTCCCCTAAGGAAGAATGAAGGTAACAGGCCCCAGCCCTCACCTCTCCTTGGGCGTCTTGCTGTGCTCATCCTGGCTTTCTGCTGGAGATTTCACTGGCCCGTCCTGGGACAACTCCCTGGAGAGGGTCCCATCACCTTCATCCTTGGGACTGGTGGTCACACCGTAGGTCCGGGGGCCGTAACGTGAACTGCCATCATGGTTGAAGGAGAGGCGGGAGCCCCAGAGGCGGTCGGGGCTGGCAGGGACCTCCTTTCGGGTCTGTTCCATCTTGGCCAGGATCTCTTCCACGGTAGTGGCCGCAAAGCGCTCCGAGGCTGGACGGAAGGGGGCCGGGGCCTTGCGCACGCCGCCTAGGGCAGCGCATCTTGCTGGAGGCGTCGAGGGGGGTGTCCCCTCTTTGCCAGTCTCTTCCTTCTCAGCCTCTCGAGGAGCTTCTCCGCTATCGGGGGTCTCGGCAGCAGGCCGTGGCGCAAAGGGGAGAGGACGCTTGCTGCCACCGTAAGGCTGGGGTCCCGCCAACATGTTCATCTTCCGAGCAGAAGGCAGCTCGGCCAGGGGGCCCCGAGGGGGCCGAGGCCCTACTGGCACCAGCAGGCTGGGCTTGGCCGGCAAGGCTGGCTTGGCGGACAGGGCCTGGGGCTTAGGTTTGAGGGGAGGTTTGACTCGAGTGTCACCTGCATAAAAGGAAGGGAGATGGGAGCGTGCAGCTATCAGAAGATTCAGGAAATGTGTGCTGTCCCACTTCCTCTCCCACCCTCCACCCTCAGAACATGCATATCCTTCTAGGTGCAAGTCAAATGCCGCCTCTTCCATGAAGCCTTCCTTGGTTTCCCGCACATATCCCAGATGTATCTTCTCCCTTCTCCAAGCTCCCAAAATGTTCAGGCAATTTCTGCTTGTAAACTACAGCTATTTATGGGTCCAGCTGGCACCTTCTTTCTCCTAGTACCCCTCTGGCACTTAACACAAGTTCTCATTGAAAGAATGAATGAATGATGCCCGCCTCTGTCAAGCTGCGGGCCAACCATTCCCCTCGACCTAGTCCTTCCCCTTGTATGAGAGAGTACTCTACTGTGGGAATTCTATCACCCTCGCAAACTTCACCCCGGCTGGGCTTTCCACCCTGCCTCCCTAGGGGCACTCACTCCCAGGCCACCTCCCCACTGTCATCCGGTGTGTGACCAGAGAATGCAAACTGCCTACTAACCTCAGCCGAACAAAAGTCAACAGGCTAGAGAAACAAACAAAACAAAAGGAGAAACCTAGCTTCTATATAAGGCATTCCGGATGTAAAGGAAAAGACTTTGGAATTACTCACAGCCACCTCCCTTTTAATAGGATCCAAATTACTCTCATTCAGTCCCGTGTGAGAGAGGACTCTAGACAAGGGGGCCCCCTCCCTTCTGGGCCTCAGTGTCCCCTTGTAAAGCCTGAAGCTTGATCTACGTCCTCTTGAAGAGCCCTGTCTGCCCTCACCAGAGGGTGTTCTCAGCCTCTCCCAAAGGGGCTTGGGACCCTTCCCAACTCAACAGCACTTCCTTGCTCTCAGGGAACCACCTCTGCCCACCCCCCAAATGCCAGCATGGGGTGCATTCTCTGCCCCTCCAGCCACCCCACCCTGCACCCCTGGGTACCTGGCTCGGAGCCAGCGGGCACCAGCTCCTCCTCCATCTCCCGGGGCAGTGGGGAAGCCATGGCTGCGCCTTCCCTGAGAGTCGCCACTTCCATCACATGCAGCAGTCTCTGGGAGAGAACCAGACAGGGCAGAGGGGTATGAACCGGGGTCACCTGGCCAAGTGGAGAAAGGGGAAAGGAGGAAAGAGATGGGGGTGTGGGTGGGAGACTCCCCCAAAGGAAGCACACACATCCAGCAGAGAGTGGGACAGGAAGAGGGAACTTCTGAAGGGAGTGGAGGGCGGTCAAGAGAGGACTCCAGCAGCAAAGTTCTCCACTCTTCTCAGCTCACCAACTCCAGCCTCCCAACCCTAGAGTCCTGGAGCTTCAGGAAGCGGCCCACTGCTCCCCCCCGCAAGTCCAGCCAGCTCTCCAAGTCGCCCCACTTACTGTTCCCAAGGTGCCCCTTGGGTCCAACCGCCCCTCTGGAGTTACTGACTCGAGGTAAAGCCAAGAGGGCCACAAAGTCTGAAGTCTTCGTGAATCACCTCATGAGAGACGGGAAAAACCCGCTCCTCCCCAACCTGGGCTCCGCCCCACAGCCTGCCTTCCCTTCCCTGCTCAGCTCGCCCTCCCTCCCTCCTTCTTTCCCTCCCTCCCTCCCTCCCTCCCGCCGGGGGAGGGTCCCCCTCCCCCCCCCCCCCCCCCCCCCCCCCCCCCCCCCCCCCCCCCCCCCCCCCACATCCCTGCCCCACTCCCGCCTCCCTCCGCGCTGTCTCATCCAAACACGGAAAAATGAGGAATAAAAAGTAAACATCTGGAATACATTTTTTTTCTTTAATTTCTCAATCGCTTTGGCTTCAGCTTAGAATTTGATGAGGTAAAGCCAGGGCCTAGTCCTGTTGCCATAGCAATGGCCTCCCACTGGATTTCCAGAGCCTTGCCAAGAGGAAGGAGGAGCCGGCCCAGGCCTGGGCTGGGAGAATGGGACAGGGCTTGAGCACATCCGGGAGGTGGAGTGGCTTGGGGGGGACAAACTCCCTGGGGTTCCCCCTTCTAGGACATCCAAGGAGGAACAGTCACAGCCTGTGAAACAGGGGGCTACATGGGCTTCACTCACCAGCCTAGAACGAGCATGTGGCATGGAAGGATTCCAGGGGGAGGTGGGAGAGATTGAAGAAAAAAAATTAAACCAGGAGACACCCTTCAAGGGAGAATCCAACCGGGTACCCCTTCTCTTTCATGTATGTAACTGGAGCGTCCCCCCTGAGAGAGGCAGGATTCAAATGCTGGGTGGGTCCACCACTTCTGTAATCGTGTGACCTTGGACACATGGCTTACTCTTCTAAACCTCTGTTTGTCTATCTGATAAATGGGGATATAGAAGCTGTTTGGGGGGGTCTTAAAGGAGATCCTCATCACCCACTGCTACTGAGTGTTCTGTCCTCATGGAGCAGATCAGCACGCCACACCTTTCGCCATGCAACAAACGGCTGGGGAGTTCAAACGGTCAACCTCCACCACTGCACAACCAAGGCTCCTTTTTCATAAGCAGAGAGCTTAGCACAACATCTAGCACAGATAGTGTCCAAGAAATGCTCGTTCCTATTACAATTCTTCCATTCAAAACGTCACCCATAAGCAAGGATCTCTGGCTAGCCACTTCTCAGCGCTGGAGTCCCAGACTCCCTCCCAGACCATTCCTTCCCTCCCACGTGCCATGTTCAAGTCACCTGGACTGCAGACACTGCCCCACCTTCTTGCTTCCCACCCTGGCTCTGGAAGCACCAGCCCACCCACAGGCCCACCAGGCCCAAGCACTGCCATGCACTGCCAAGCACTGTGGCTTGGGGGCATTGGAGCCCTCTCCCAAGAGATCAAAAGGAAGAGGAATGTTTCTTATCACATGGCACCCACAAAGCACGTGATGCCAACTCAACCTGTTCCAACACCCCAGTGAGGCTGAGAAGACAGCGCCAAGCCCAAAGAAGGGACCTCTGGTGCCCAACCTTTAAAAACCCATCGCACTCGCTTAGCCCCTCAGGCACTGACTCAAACACAGGGGAGGCTGTGTTCTATGAAGGATAGAGAACCCTCAACTGGTCAACCAGTCAGTCAACAACCCAGGCCTGCCCACCGTGGGGTGGGGGTGGGGGGGGGGGAACAGAGCTGAACCTCATCCAAGTGTGCGTGGGGGAGGAGCCATATGATTTAAAAAAAATAATAAATTAAAAAACACGAGAGCGTCCCCATGTCCTTGAACATTATTACAAGGGGCATGGTGTGGGTGGTTAGAAACGGGGACAAAGTGGCCCAGAACCGAAAAACCCTTTTACCCGGGGCCCTGATGGGCACATCCAGGGTGTGCGAGGTTACACTATGCAAAGTGGTCAAGAGCCAGAGGTAGAGGATTCTCTATTGAGGAGGGGGCCGTAGCAGCTGGGAGGCCCCAGCCAGGAGCCCCAGGTGACCAGCCCGTGACCAGAAGCTGCAGAATGGCAGCGGCTCCAGCCACTCCCCACCGCCAGGAGTCCGGGAAAGTCAGGCAGGCCGACCCCTGGGAGTAAGGGCCGCCAGAAGGGCTGGGGAGGGGCTGGGAAGCTGGAGGCCGGCGCTGGGCCTGGAGGGGATTCAGAGCAGATGGGGTCACCCCTTTGGACCAGGGACCGCAGACCGGGTAGATATTGGTGGGGACAGTGTGCAAACTGCTGGAGGAGGGAGGACCGACGGCAAGACGGAACAGCCCCGGGGCGAGGGGCCGCCGTCTGGAGGGGCCCGGTGGGGAGCTCTGGACACAGAGGGGGCGGCGGGAATCGAGGAGGAAGAGGAGGCGGCGGCGGTAGAGCCGAGGATCTGTGCGCGGGATGCAAAGCAGCCAGAGAACAGACGGGGTACTGGGGACCCAGACCCGGTGGGGGCGTCCTAGGGAGGCTGGGGGCGTGCCGAGGGGGCCGAGGGAGGGG